GGGGGGGGGTGTCTTTCATTCAATCAGAGGTGCAGAAATTGAGACTTTGGGCAGGACCCAAACTTAACTGGGGCCAAACTTAACAGAAAGGGGACGGTTCGCCAGGTGACAAGGGAGCAAACACGATGGAGATGTTTAATTAGCATTAGAAGCTAATGGAATCAAGGTTTGTTTTCATCCCGGCGCTTCTCACAGCTGAAGTTGATTCCTGGTCCATTGCTAATTGTCTGAAGATCCTTACCTTTTTTTTCCGATTCCCACTTTCACGCTGCACGGCTTTCATGAGATGGACCAGCCGATCAACAAAGGTCTGTTGGGCAGCCAACAAGGAACGCATCACCCGGACGGATTTGTCACCCTGGGTAAATCAGGAGACGAAAAAAAAAAAAATTTTCTTTCTTTTCTTTTCTTTTCTTTTCTTTTCTTTTCTTTTCTTTTCTTTTCCTTTCTTTCTTTCTTTCTCTCACCTCTCCCATTTCCTTTCTTCCTTCCTTTCTCTCCCTCCCTCTCCTCTCCTTACCTTATCTTACCTTGCCCTCCCTTCCTTCCTTTTTCTTTCTTTCCTTCTCTTTCTTTTTCTTTCTTTCTTTCTCTCACCTCTCCCATTTCCTTTCTTCCTTCCTTCCTTCCTTTCTCTCCCTCCCTCTCCTCTCCTCTCCTTATCTTACCTTACCTTGCCCTTCCTTCCTTCCTTCCTTTTTCTTTCTTTTTCTTTCTTTCTTTCTTTCTTTCTTTCTCTTTCTTTCTTCTTTCTTTTTCTTTCTCACCTCTCCCATTTCCTTTCTTCCTTCCTTTCTCTCCCTCCCTCCCTCTCCTCTCCTCTCCTTATCTTACCTTACCTTGTCCTTCCTTCCTTCCTTCCTTCCTTCCTTCCTTCCTTTTTCTTTCTTCCTTTCTTTCTTTTTTCTTTCTTTCTTTCTTTCTTTCTTTCTTTCTTTCTTTCTTTCTTTCTTTCTTTCTCTCATCTCTCCCATTTCCTTTCTTTCTTCCTTTCTCTCCCTCCCTTTCCTTTCCTTTCCATTCCTTTCTTCTCCTCACCTTACCCTGCCCTCCCTCCCTTCCTCCCTCCCTTCCATCCTTTCCCTCCTCCATTTCCCTCTCTCCCTTTCTCTTCCTCCCCTCCCCTCCCTTTCCTTTCTTCCTTTTCTCTCCCTCCCCTCTTCTTTCCTTTCCTTTCCTCTTCCTTCCTTTTCTCTCCCTCTCTCCCTCCATTTCCTTTCCTTTCCTTTCCCCTTCCTTCTTTCGTTCTTTCTTTCCTCCCTCCCTCCCTTCTTCCCTTCCTCTTCTGTTCTCTTGGCTTTTAGCAATTCCTTTCTGAGTAGATAACAAACGATGACATTCACTCCACAGACATGTTCGTTCTCTGTTCCTTCCCCCCCACCCACCCACCCTTTCACTCCCTCCCATATATAATGCAATCAAAGCTGCCTATAGTAAGAAAGTGGCTGGCTGACCTTCTGGCTTTTCCACAGCTTTGTCAATAACAATCATTCTAAAAGTAAGCCTAAGCCAATTTGCCCTGAAGGAGGTGGAGGGTTGTAGAAAAGGCAAGGAAATCCATGATAAATGAAAGACATTTAATGGAAGGGAATCTTCGTAGCTCAAGGCTTAACTGTGGGGTCCTTGGTGCCCTCTGAGCTTGGTGGTTTCCTTGCAGGTGTTTCATGACCCAACTAGGCAACATCATCCGTGTGAGAAGAGTGTGGAGCACCCTCTCCCAAAATGAAACAAAGAGACCAAAATACTCCTTACCAGCAATCCACACCCAGGCAAGCAGATAAGCACACTAGGCCAACCATCAAAAAGTCAACAATACCCCAATCAAGAAACTAACAACTCAGATAAACAAGCCAAGAAATGCCTCACCCCGAGGGATTTACCACCCTGGGTAAATCAAGAGACAGAGAAAGGTTTCTTACTTTCCCTCCCTCCCTCCCTCCCTCCCTCCCTCTCTCTCTTTCTTTCTTTTTTTCCCTAACTTTAATCCTAACCTTAACTATCTGGGTGGGTAAAGAGACATTCCAGCTTGCAATTTGTCCAGGAGAGGAAATGTTTGAGCTCAAACCCTCAAGTCTATATCTGAAATTTCCCAAGGGAAGGTCAGATTCTCCTTCCTTCCCTCCCTCCTTCCTTTCTTTCTTCCTCTCTTTCTCTCTTCTTTCTTTATTTTTTTCTTTTTTTCTTTTTGTTTCCTTCCTTCCTCTCTTCTCTTTCTTTCTTTCCTTCTTGTTCTTTCTTTCTTTCTTTCATTCTTTCTTTCTTTCTTCTTTCTCTCCTTTTCTCTTCTTTCTTTCTTTTTCTTTCCTTCTTTCCTTCCTTTCTTCTTTCTTTCTTTCCTTCTTGTTTTCTTTCTTTCGTTCTTGTTTTCTTTCTTTCTTCTTTCTTTCTTTTTCTTTTTCTTTCTTTCCTTCATTCCTTCCTCTTTCTTTCTTTCTTTCCTTCTTTTCTTTGTCATTCTTGTTTTCTTTCTTTCTTTTTCTTTTTCTTTCTTTCCTTCATTTCTTCCTTTTTCTTCTCTTTCTTTCCTTCTTTTCTTTCTTTCCTTCTTGTTCTTTCTTTCTTTTTTCTTTCTTTTTTCTTTCATTTCTTTCTCTCCTTTTTCTTTTCTTTTCTTTATTAGGCTGTAAACCACAGCCTAACCAAGGAACCATCAAGACCACACCCACCAACCCTGGCAGGGCACGCCATTTATATCTAAATAGAGAGCAAACCCCACTCCCTTCTAGCACTATTGAAGTCATCTAGTTGGATAATGAAATATCTGCAAGAAAACTACCAAGCTCAGAGAACATCAAGGAACAATTGCAATCAGAATAGAGCTGGAAGGGACTTTGGAG